AGAGCAGGAGCACCTTTAAAAACTGAGTTCTCTGATGGGCAGAAGAGGAAGTAAGAAAGATTCAAAGTATGAGGGGATTTTATGCACTGTTACTAATTTGAAAACGGAGAAAGTCATTTGAGAAGGAATCACAGTGACCTGAGAAGCCAAGAAGCCCCATGTAATGCAAATGTATAATGAACTCATCTGCTAGCCAAAACTGTTGGAGGTTTGAGTCTACCTAGAAATACCTCAGAAGAAAGGCCTGGAGAAGTGCTTCTGAAAAATCCACCATTGAAAATGCTATGGAGCTCAGTTTTTCTCTGGCACACAAGGGGTGGCCAGAAGTCGGAATCAAGCCAGAAGGCAATGGATAACGGTAAGAAACTGAAAGAGGTCCCAGTTGTTTACCAGCAAACCTCAGAAATTTCAATCCTATAACCACAAGAAACAATGATATCAATAGCCGGAATGACGTTGGAATCACAGAACCACCAGGTGAATAGTTAGTTCAAGTGACATGTTGATTTCAGTCCTGGAAGACCCTGAGCAGAAGACAGAGGACCCAGCTGTCATTTCTTTTAAGCAATGGTGGTGGTTATGTGCTGTGGAGTCAGTTTCGGCACATAGTGACCCTGTCTAGGGTTTCTAAGGCTGTAAATCTTTACAGGAGCAGAAAGCCTCATCTTCTTCCCATGGAACTGCTGGTAGTTTCAAACTGCTGACCATGGGATTAGCAGCCTGAATCGTAACCACTACGCTACCAGAACTCCTTTCTTATAAAGCAATAGAAGACTAGTAATAGCACTATGTCTCAATTAAGAAGCTGAGGATGCAGAATGCAGAAACCATTCATCTATAATATCCAAATTTAACAGACTTGATGGCACTTAACTACAACTGTATGTTACTACTAGTGTAGCATTGTAAGATAAGCAGTGGACTGCTAACCATGTCAGCAGTTCAAACCCACCAGCTACTCCTTGGAAACCTTATGAATTGGAAGCTACGGCACTTAACAAAAACAACTGTATATTTAAACATAAACTAAGACCACAAGTAAATGCATGGGAACAAGTAGCATTTTTGTTATCTTACTAAGGCAATATAGGAGAGCACAGTGGCTCTGTGGGACAAGCACTGGACAGCATGGTTCAAGCCCACTAGCTACTCCATGGAAGAAAGATGAGACTCTGCTCCCACAGGATTTACAGTCTTGTAAACCCTACACAGAGTCTCTATGAGTCAGAATTGACTTAACAGCATGTAACAAGAAGGCAATATAATTTTTTTTTAAAACTCCTCTGCCACTACAAACTCACTTCTGGGTCTGATTCTTCCAGAAATTATACGAGTTGGCTTCTTTTAAAATGGGACAGGGGTAGGGGGGACAAGGGGATAAGAAAAGGGTATCACATTAGGTCACCACTAGTCTGTCAGTTTGTGGTACTGTTGTGGTCTAATTGTGGGTTTTGTATTGTGAGTTGCTGTGATTCTGAAAGCTATACCACCGGTATTTTAAATACCAGCAGGGTCACCCATGATGGATAGGTTTCAGATGAGATTCCAGACAAAGACAGACTAAAAGAAGGAGTGACGAACTATTTTTTATTCTTAATTCATTTGTTCTTACTTTCATTTTTGTTATTTTTTTCTTCTCTATACCTACCCCTCTTTTGTTTTTGTTGTTGTTGTTAAGTGCCATTGAGATAGTTCCAACTCAAAAAGACCCAGTATAGGGTTCCTGAGGAACCACTGGTGAGCTTGAACTGCTGATCTTGCAGTTCAAACCAACTTGCAGTCCAGCACATGAATCTGAGGCTCCACACTAGGACTCCTTTGTCTTTATAGTCATTACATTCTTTTTTTCTGGCTAATGCCTGTTTTTATTCATTGCTTTTCCTTACTATTATTTCTTTTCATTGTTGGTTCCTTGTTTGTTTATTCTTTTTTGCTTCCTTGTCAGTGGGGGGTACATTTTCTCTTTCCCATCCAACAGGAGACTGCAACCATGTCCAGACAGTCTATTTACAACCATGCACTTTACAGCTCCACCCACTGGGCAAGAGCCAGTACCAGCTCCTATACAACCTGATCAACAATAGATAGCAGCCAACACCAGCCAAATCCACCCTAAACTAAAGTCCATGAATGGTGAACGAGAATGGTGTATACACTTCTATTCCCTAACTATGCCCATAGGAGACAGTTGGTGACAGCCTAAGAACACACCAGTTTATAATCATCAGTTAAATACAAATATGACAACCACACAATGCCCTGGAGACAGCCGACAATTTTAGCTGGCACTAAGAAACAAGAGAGAGTAGCTCAAACCAATGATCATGATGCAGAGCTAGAAAATATTTCTAAGAAAGAAAATATAACTGAAAAAGAATTCAAAAGAATAATATTTTGATACCTTCAAAGGATGGATAGAAAGATGGAGGAAAGTAAGGAGAACACAGAAAAAACTTTAGAAGAATTCAGGAAAACACTACAAGATCAAATAGACAAATAAAATGCAAATTTTGAAACAATACAAAACCCACAATTAGACTAATATTAGACTAATATTAAAATCTCAGAAGTGGACAATACATTGAAAGGTCAAAAGAGTACATTTGAAGCAATGGAAGCCCAAATTAGTGAGCTTGAAGATAAATCTCTCAATAGTAGTATGCTAGAACAATCAGAAAAAAAAAAAAAGACAAAATCCAAAGAAAGCCTAAGAGTTATGTGAGACACCGTGAAGAGGGACAACTTAAAGGGGATCAGAATTCCAGAGCAAGAAGAGACAATAAAAATCACAGAGAAAACTGTCGAAGAGTTGTTGGAAGACAATTTCCCTAGCATCGTAAAAGATGAAAAGATAACCATTCAAGAAGCTGAATGAACCCTAAACAGTTTAGACCCTGAAAGAAAATCACCAAGACAAATCATAATCAAACTCTCCAAACCAAAGACAGGGAAAGAATCCTGTGGAAAAACAAAAGGTTACCTACAAAGGAGAACCAATAAGACTAAATTCTGATTTCTTAGCAGAAACCTTGCAGGCAAGAGGGCAATGGGATGAAAGAACAACATTGTCAACCAAGAATCATATAGCCAGCAAAGCTGTCCCTCAAATATAATGACAAAATTGGGACTTTCCTGATAAACAGAAATTAAAGGAATTTGTAATGGCCAGACCAATTTAACAAAAAATGCTAAGGGGTGTTCTTTGGATGGAGAACCAACAGCAGACAGCAACCTGAGATTACCATACATGACAATATCACCCAGAACTCAATCCAGATGTAGAAGTATTAAAAGTAAAACAAACCTACAAGACTGAAAATAGGGAGCCAGATATATAAATTTATAATGAAGGTAACTACAAAGCAAAAAGAAGGAATACTGTAGATACAGAACTTCCAAAAGGCAAGGAAGTCAAGTTGGTTTCAAGATACAACAGACTGTTTTTTAATAAATTATAGGGAAACCTCGAAGACAATGAATACACTTGCATATCAAAATTTTTAAAAGAGGGAAATCAGAAAGACATAGTACACATTAACACAAAAGAAATTAAAATGCAAAGAAACCCCATAAACAAAATTAATTCATTGCAGAAAATTATGTGGAACAAAGAAACCAGAAAACCAGAAAAAAACACACATCAATCAATTCATGCCTGTCGATAGTTACAATGAATGTAAATGGATTAAGTACACCAGTCTAGAGACAGAGAGAACAGAAAGGATAAGAAAACAGGATCCTTCAATATGCTGTCTACAAGAGACACATCATGGACTACTCAAAGTTGAAGAATAAGGATGAATCTGAGAAATACCTCACAACATGGATGAACCTGGAGGACATTATGCTGAGTGAAATTAGCCACAAAAAGACAAATATTGTATGAGATCAATGTTGTAAAAAGTAAAGAAAAAGTTTCTTGATAAAAGAAACTGTCTCTGATGGTTATGGGGCAGGTGACAGGGAAAATTATTCATGGGATACAGCATATATACATGTTAACATGAGTGATGAGGCAGGCAATATACAAGAGGGAAAGATGAAGGTATCAGGAGACACAGGGAAGAATGCAATTAATGTTAAAGAGAATAGAGGTTAAGTACTGTTAACCGTTGGTACATGGAAGGTACTACAATCATTGTAATGAAGATTAAACAATGTTTATTATTTATTGAATGTAAAACTGATGATCTGCTCTATAAATCTTCACTCAATTCACAATAAAAAATTTTTTTCAGTGTTTATAGAGACCTAGATGGCAGATATGTTGAGAAACAATAGCTTTGCATTTTGAACTCGGAGGTTCAAACCAACCTTGTGGCCCAATGCTTTAGCCTGTTGTTGTTGTTGTTGTTGTTGTTATGTACTGTGGAGTCGGTTCCGACTCATAGCGACTCTGTACAGGGTTTCCGTAGTCAGGAGGAATTTCATCAACCCAGGGACAATTTAAAACCAGAGGAAATTTTATAAGCCAAACACTGTTTATGTATAAATTCCAGCTTTGAATTTAGTGCTGATAAGAGAAATAAAAATGACAGAATTAATTTAGTATCAGTAATTTTACTTTATGGAAGAAAATAAAAAGTATATACATACACTTTGAAGTCTCAAATTCCATATTGTTTATAAATTCAAATTTCCAGTAGCTAAAAGAAATATACCATAGTAAGAATTGTCCTAATTGTTTCATCTTAAATTTTCACTTTAATTTTGTACTCTATTTCAATACTTTTTTTATGTTTTATATGAAAATCTTTGAGAAAATACTCTGGTCAAATGTACTCTATTTTCATGCCATCTTCACAGATGTTTCTTTGTATATAGCAGTTGTGGGACATCTCACTTAAAAAAGCAAAACTAACTACTAGCTCTCTACTTCATTTTTGGAGGCATCTTTAGAACAGACATTTAATATGATGCAATCATTCATTTCTCTGTCTTTAAAATGTTATCCCCAGAAGTGATAGGTTCTGATATAATTGTCTTCTTTTCCTTTGCAGAGAACATTCCAATAGCTATCTTCAAAATGGCCCGGATAGAATTGGAAGAGTGTATAAGAAGGCCCTTTATCTTCAGTACACAGATGAAACCTTTAGGACGATTATAGAAAAACCACTCTGGCTGGGGTTTTTAGGCCCTGTTATCAAAACTGAGACTGGAGATAAAGTTTTTGTACACTTAAAAAACTTTGCCACTAGACCCTATACTTTTCATTCACATGGAGTAACTTACTATAAAGAACATGAGGGTAAGTTTAGCTCAGGTTCCAGCTGAAAATTCCCTCTACTCTTCAGTTGTTTCTATTGTTATAACTTATCAGACTAAGGACACTCTCTGGACAAAAGCTACAACAATGGGATTTCACTCTAAAATTCATTAATAGGTATTTCATTTCATCCTAATAGTGATGCATTTCTTTTGGTTGTGCTTGTTTGTATGAAGTGTGAGTGTGATGGTATTTAGATCCTGAGTATCAGTGACAGCTGGGATTTCTACTGTCCAACTCCATTCCAGCCATATTGTGTGAAGAAGAGAAATGGGGAAGGTGCATTCAGGCCCTTCTAGAGAGAAGAGAAAAAAAAGACTCAAGAAAGTTGTCTTATCTCTAAAGCCATTGTCACCTCATATCTAAAACTTTGGAAAACTCTGTTCCAGCTAAGACTGATGAGTACTTGCATGCTTTAATTCAATAGTAGATGTGGCTAGATTATCCTAGGGTCATATTTGAGATACAATTAAACAAAAGGGCCATTTGCATGTACAACTCAGAAACCTTAAAGACAGTACACGAAGAACACGCTGTCTCACTGCTAATACTTGATGATGGTGATATTAAGAGATAATGCTTTGTTGCAGTTAGTAGCAAGGGCTTTGAAATTAATCGACCAAGATTCAAGTCCCAACCTTGATTTGGCTGAGTGACCTTGAGCAATTTCTTTAAATTCTCTGTGCATCCATTTCCTCATCTATAAAATAGGGACAAAGATAGTTAATAACAGCATAATAAATGTCAGTTATCATCATAAGTAAAAATGCAGAGGTCATGTTATAGCTCATTGAAATTATAAGGAATGTGTCTAGAAATAATACAAAATTATATTTGGTTAGTTATTAGTCTTTTTTTTAAGAGTGAATGTTTTGACCATATCTACTTTCATTTTTCTGGGCCAAGTGATTGATTACACTCATGTTATAAATGTTTGCCATATTATTTTTTAAATAATTTACTGGCATATTAATTCTTTCTAATTTTTAGCTATAATAATAGTATTGAGGTTGTTTTTTTCAAAAACAACATTCTTATCTCTTTTTTTGGTAAAGGTATTTCTTTACTTTTAAACAGGAGATAGTATATGGTATAGGAACCATTCTGCACCTAAGTAACTCTTTATTCTTAACATGTAAGTTTTCAGCTATTCCACTCTTTTCCATGGTTGCATGGTTTAAGAATAAACAAATATTTTTACCAAAATAGGAGATGAGAACTCTTTTTTGTTTTAGCCACAATACCATTATTATATGCTCCCCCCAACAAAACTCCATAAAATACTAAATCCGTATTTCATTGTGTAGATGGACACTATGCTTTATTTAATTAATGACGCATACTTCTGTTGTGTCTGGTCTTTTGCTCATTAGAAGCAATTCAACAATAAATATCCTCAACCATATAGTTTGTACTCGTGTGTGAGGATTTCACTGGGACTTATTCTAATTTGCAGTCAGCCGGTACATGCAGCTGTAATTCTGGTAGAACTTTGCAGATTTTCTTTCAGAGGGATTTGTCAGTCTACAAAGAGTTCTTATACTTTCTAGATACATATTCATGTATTTACAAACAAAAGGCTATGATATCTGGGATTTACTTTTTTTTTTTTTTAACTACTCCTTGGAGACTCTACCTTCCTCCACGCCCTCTGGATCTAGGCTCCCTCTTGAAAGCTTGTAAGCCAGTCACTTCTTGCCTTTGTAACCTCACCCCTCCCCCATTTTGGGTAACCAATGACCAACTTGCCCATCCCTGTCTACTCTGTGTATGGAGGGGGTGGTAATGGTCCTCATTGTAAAGATTTGTTCCCTCTTTTGAGCTACTGCATCCACAGGTGTAGGTCAAGTTCATCAAATTGTATCAGATTACTTTTTTCCCTCTTCTTTCTTCTTCTAGTTGAGCTCTGATCATTCAGCCATTGAAACCAGGTCAAGTGGGTATTATCTGTAAGTGTGGGTGTTCTTAAGCATATGCCTTCTTTTCTTATCAGCTGGACACTTCACTTTCCACTCTAGTCCTTTGTGGCTATGTCACTGACTCTAGGCCCAAGAGTCCCCAGGTCTTGCCACACTGCTAGGCAACCAGGTCTCCACAAGAGTCTATTAAATGTTGTAGGGCTTAGCTCTCAGCTTCATTGCTGTTTTTCCCTCACTTCCCCTTATCAGAGATGAACATGATTACCAATCAGAGCACATGTCTGCTGGTGAATTCTCATTGAGTCTTAAGTCTTGGAAGGGGGTTTGCCCTGAGGGAACCCAACCACTTGACTTGATATCTCCTGGTGAGCTGGGATTAACCTTTAAATAGCCTGACAGTTGTGAGGAAGAGAATTGGCAGAGGCAGAGATGAAACCAGATTGGCATCAAGTTGATAATTGTTGAATCTGGGTGATTGGGACATGGAGGTCATCATACAATCTCTCTACTTTTACATATGTTTAGACACTTCCAAAGTTTAAAGTAAAACAGAAGAGTTCCATGATTACTTTGTAAACATATCTTACATTATATAAGAATTTCAAATTATAGGAAAGCATAGATTATTTGCTCATCCTTTCATACCATGACCCCAAAGCAAAAATAGTTCTTTAAATTGTGAATCAAAAAGCCACTATGCTCCTCACATACGTATTAATTCTCCGTGAAGACTCAACCAAGTATAGAAAATATTAACATTTTCTATGAAGCTTCCAGACCCCCTAGTCATTAGCTTCTCATTCTACTGAGTTTAAATAGGATACCATTGCACCCTTATGAGGTCATATACTAAATGTTCAATAAGTGTTTAATGAGTGATTTAAGTTCATTCATTTATGCTCTCATTTAAGTTCAAACACATTCACTTTGTAACTTCATATCCTATTGCTTCCCAGGAGCCATCTACCCTGATAACACTACAGATTTTCAAAAAGCAGATGACAAAGTATATCCAGGTGAGCAGTACATGTATATATTGCATGCCAATGAAGAACAGAGCCCTGGAGAGGGAGACAGCAATTGTGTGACCAGGATTTATCATTCTCACATTGATGCTCCAAAAGATATTGCCTCAGGGCTCATCGGACCTCTAATCGTCTGTAAAAAAGGTACATTTCTGATCATTTTTCATAATATATGACCAAAAATAAGACAGTTCATATGTTAAATGTGTCTTTTGTGTTGGGATTGAGACAATAAGATAAAGAGATGCTGAGGCTAGGGAAAAAAAAAGAGTGGCAAGGCAAGGTGAAGGGCTAAATGGCGCATTCATAAGGGAAAACCACCAGTGAATTTTGCTGCGAGAAATATGGAAATGCAAGCTACACTAAGGATGGAGCTGGAAGATATTATGCATAGTGAAAGAAGTCAATCACAAAAGGATAATTATTGTATGACCACACTTATATAAAAAGATAGGAAACTGCAAATATAAATAAAGTTTATTAGTGGTTACCAGGGACAAGAGGGAGAGGGCAAGGGGGGTTTAATGATAATGGAACTAGCCAACTGATTAAGGGTATGGTTGCACAGCTGATTATTATAATTGCTGTTAATGAGTTGCCCACCTGTAAAAAGTAGATTGGCAAAAGTTGTGTGCTAGATATATTTTCAACAACAAGAATAGTTGCAAAGACTGCTTATATGTAACTAAAAACAAATCATGGGATTTAGTTTCTTGGTTTGGAGGTGTAGGGTCATGATTTCATGGGGCTTTCTAGTTAATTGAACTAATAACATGTTTAGTTCTTCAATTCTCCCTGCATGTTTGATAAGTAGTGTTTGGAGTCTTAAAAAGTTTTCAAGAGACCATCCAGAACACGGTTGGTCTCTATTCACCTAGAGCAATAGAGGAAGGAGAAATAGGAATAAAAGGAGGGTATGGAATGTATGCAAATTTCTTCCATGAGCAACTACCTTCTTTGAGACCAGAAGAAATGGATGGTGCTAGACATTTTGAACAAAGATTTTATGGAAGAATTTTGATCAATAGGGGGGAAATACAGAATGGAATTTCAACTTTTCATAGACTCTGAAATTTATGGAGTTAGGCAGTTTAGACGAATCCCTGAAATTATTGCCCTGAGACAATCTTTTAGCCTTGAACCAAAAATATACCCTGCAGTCTTCTTAAAATCATGTTTAGATTATTAGCAAAACTAAACCTTGAAGTCTTAAAACAATAGTTTAGTTGATCTAGTAAAAAATGCCTGCTTTGAGCATTATGCTCTCTTAAGCATTATCTATATGGGATCATATAAGTGAAGAGGACTTGAAACATTTACTTATGAAGATCAAAGAGCACAGCCTTCGGTATGGATTGCATCTCAATGTCAAGAAAACAAAAATCCTCACCACTGGACCAATAAACAACATTCTTATCAATGGAGAAAAGATTGAAGTTGTCAAAGACTTCATTCTTCTTGGATCAACTGTCAACACTCATGGAAGCAGCAGTCAAGAGATCAGACGACGCATTGCATTGGACAAATCTGCTGCACAGGAACTTTTTAAAGAATTGAAGAGCAGAGATGTCAGTTTGAGGACTAAGGTGTGTCTGACCCAAGCCATGGTATTTTCAATAACCTCATATGGATGCGAAAGCTGGACAGTGAATAAGGAAGATCGTAGAAAAATTGATGTCTTTGAGTTGTGGTGTTGGAGGAGAATACTGAAAGTGCCATGGACTGCCCAAAGAACCAATAGATCCATTTTGGAAGAAGTGCAGCCAGAGTGCTCCTTGGAGGCCAAGATGGCTATGCTTCGTCTCTCATACTTTGGACATATTGTCAGGAGGGAACAGTCGCTGGAGAAGGATGTCATGCTGGGTAAGATGGAGGGTCAGAGAAAAAGAGGAAGACCCCCAAGGAGATGGATCAGCCAGGTGGCATCATGGATGGCGTCAAGTGTGGCAGCGGTAGTGAGGTTGGCCCAGGATTGGACAGTGTTTCGTTCTGCTGTGCATGGGGTCGCTATGAGTTGGTTCCGACTCGATGGCACCTGACAACAATATGGGATCAGAGTGACAACAGCAACTTGAAAGATTAAATAGGAACCTTAGGAGGCGGTGCATTTATGGTAATGAGGGAGGAACAACTCAGGAAAGAAGGGTATGAATGATGGCACAATTTGAAGAATATACTCAGTGCCACTGAATGTACATGTAGAAACTCATATTGGCGTATCTTTTGCTATGTATAAGAAACCTTGGTGGTGCAGTGAGTTAAGCACTGGACTGCTAACCACAAGGTTGGCAGTTCAAAGCCACCAACTACTCCATAGAAGAAAGATGAGGCTTTCTGCTCCAGTGAAGATTTATAGACTCAGAAACCCCCAGCAGCTTCTACTTTACCTTGCAGTGTCACTATGAGTCAGAATTGACTCCAAGGCAGTGGGTAGTGGGTTATTTGTTATATTTACTCCCAACAACAAAATAAATAAATAAAACTTAAAGAAAACAATGTATGGAGAGAGGTTTGCTGTATCTAATTTCCAACAGTAGTGACTAAAGACATGAATGATTCCAACGAATGTGATCACTTTGGTGGCACTCTATGGTTGTATTGGTAAATAAATCAATAAGCAGAAAAAAACACACAGAAAAAGCCCACACAAAAAGCCTACACAGAAAAAATAAACATACACAAGTTAAGGTTAGGTTAGGGTTAGAGTTAAGGTCAGGGCTTGTTGTTGTTAGGTACTGTCAAAACCGTTCCAACTCAAAGCGACCCTATGCACAATAAAGTGAAACGTTGTCCAGTACTCACAATTGTTATGTTTGAACCCATTGCTGCTGCCCCTGTGCCAATCCATCTCGTTGGGGTCTTCCTCTTTTTTGCTGACCCTCCACTTTACCAAGCATGATGTCCTTCTTGAGGGGCGGCTCCGTCCTGAAAATTATGTTACAAGTATGAGAGATAAAGTCTCACCATCCTTACTTCTAAGGTGTATTCTGGCAGTCCTTCTAACACAGATCTGGCAGTCTATGGTACTTTTAACATTCTTCTTCAACACCATAACTCAAATACATTAATTCTTCTACATACTCCTTATTCATTGTTCAACTTTCACATGTATATGTTATTGTTAAGTGCCATTCATAGTGACCCTATATAGGGTTTCCCAGGAGCGGCTGGTGAGTTTGAATCATCAACCTTACAGTTTAAACTAGCCTTGAGGTCAAGTGATTATCAAGTGTTAAATTCCAATTCATAGTGACCCTATATAGGGTTTCCCAGGAGCAGCTGGTGAGTTTGAATCATCAACCTTACAGTTTAAACTAGCCTTGAGGTCAAGTGATTATCTTATGGCGCCATACCAGGACTCCGTAACACTACTGAAAATACCATGGTGTGAGTCAGGCTAATCTTAGTCCTCAAACTGATATATTTGAATTTTCATTATGTATATCACAGTAGAGCATTTTCTGTATGGGCTTTTTGTGTGGGCTTTTTTAATGGGTGCTTTTTCCCTAGAATCATAATAGTTATGTGGTCAGTGGACATTCAGATATATGAGTGTCTCCCAAGCTCAGGGATACTGAACATGGATGCTCTTAAGTGTTTCCACACAGGGATAACTGATGAAGGTTCGTGGGTTATTAAGAAAACAAATACTAAATTAAAAAATATATACAAATCAGTTGAAAACATACACCAAAACTAACACTAAAAAGTAATCTCTATATTATAAAATGTATAATATATTTTCACTTCAGATTCTCTGGATAAAGAAAAAGAAAAAGATATTGACCAAGAATTTGTGGTAATGTTTTCTGTGGTGGATGAAAATTTCAGCTGGTACCTAGAAGATAACATTAAAACTTACTGCTCAGAACCAGAAAAGGTTGACAAAGACAACGAAGACTTCCAGGAGAGTAACAGGATGTACTGTAAGATTACAGAACACATGTTCATTTTGCTTTTTTCTTGATCCAAATAATTCTTCTAAGCTTCTCCCTCACGTGTTTCTAATCTGTGTTACTGATAACAAAGTGTATTACATGTGCAACTTGGTATTCAACTGGTCAGGTTAAATCCCAACTCTAAACCAAATAAAGCCACTTATTCCCTAACTAGTAAGGCAAAAAGTTGTTCCCAAACTGATAAGGCTAAAACAACATTATCAATAATTTATGGTTTAATAGGTATGTCTGTTTATACGTATATATTTATTTATCATTGACCTCACTCTAAAAATTATCTGATACAGCCTAAAATTAGTAAATTAAGACTATATTACAAAGCATCTAATTAAATTTTAGAAAATAGCTCAAATTGTTAGTTCTGCAAAGTATTCTTTTTAAATACTGCACTGTCCTTTACTATCCCTCCTACCCTACATCATTCTTATTTATAGTTTACTTTATTTCTTCTAGAAATACGGTCTTTACAGCCTACTGTCTGAATTCTCAGACACAAAATAATGAGCTTAGTCTGGACATCTATCACTCAGAATTTGCATGAAAAATTAACCCTTAATTTGAACTATATACATGAATATAGTTTTGTGGGGTTTTTTTGGTTTGTGTTTACCTTTTTTCAAAACACCCTTCACAGGAAACTGAGAACACAAATAAAAATATCTGTCCTACGAAAGCAGAAAAACAAACTAACAAGTATGGATATTTGTTCTCAATGTTTGCTTTCAATTGGCTAAAGAATTCTCTTTCCATATTTAATCCTGCTCTGTTATGCAATAATAGACATTAGATAAAAAAGATATTCTAGTCTGGAGGTGCCTGGCTGGGTACCATTGTATCATCTTAGGCATTCAGGGTTCTTCCTAAAGCCAATTTCCATCTTACCTCTAGAGTGACCCAGTTTGAACAGCGACACATGGGTATCAGACACCTTTGATTTCTCTGTGGCTTTGGTTCCTGCTCTCCTTCACCCACATTTTCCCTTTTCCTCCTCCATTTCTCTTCCAGTCAAGCCTTCCAATTCAAACCCAAACAAAACATTTCCTGTATTCTTATTGTAAAAGTAATACATATTCATTGTAGAAAATTAATTGGAAAAATTATGAAAAGAAAAAAAAATTATAGTACTCAATAAACCTTTGGTCTTTTTTCTACGTACTAGATTTTTTATATAAGAGGGGAATTCAAAAAGCTCTGGAAGCAATGAAACTAAAGATAATTGAAATTTTTTTAATGAATTTCTTGAAGTCCCCTTGTACACACATGTGTATGTATATATATGCACATGCTGTATCTAGAGATATACACACAGACATATCAATGATGTGTGCGTAGTTTTAACAAATAGAGAAAATAGAATTTCATCTCCAGAATTGTGTTCATCTGTTGGTATTGTGTTGGTAAGAATCCTGAAATTGAATTCAGGTTCAACAGAAAAGAATGTGGCAATTGATTGATTATCAATGTCTGATATGTCTAATGTGGAGGGAGGAATGGCAGGCAGAACCATGAGGGACAGGTACTTCCCATTCCAAATTAATTCTGTGCCTGTAAAAGTTATTATCATTTTCTAAAGTGCCAATACCTATTAGTCACAAACCCCTTGCTCTTGATTCACAGCTGTGAATGGATACACTTTTGGAAGTCTCCCAGGACTCACCATGTGTGCAGAAGACAGAGTGAAATGGTATCTTTTTGGTATGGGCAATGAAGTTGATGTGCATGCTGCTTTCTTTCGTGGACAAGCATTGACTAATAAGAACTACCGTGTTGATACAATCAATCTCTTTCCTGCTACACTTTTTGATGCATTTATGGTGGCCCAGAACCCTGGAGAATGGATGCTTAGCTGTCAGAATTTAAACCATCTCAAAGGTAAGCCATCTTTATCTGAAATTAGCTCTACATCTGAGTTACACTGTTGATTGGGCATCAGAATTGAAAAGTCAAAAATATCTTTAGAAGAATCTGAACTTTGAACTGGTTACTCAATTTTATTCCTATGATGGCCCATGTCATAATGTAGTAAAAAGACTGAAACGTTTATAAAAATATACTAATTTCTGGAAAAGAACTATTGGTCCTGAAAGGATAGTTCAGTATATAATTTCTCAACTTTCCAAAATACCACAATATTGTAAAAACTAAAAGATTTGTATTTTATGTAGAAAAGAAGCCTATTTTTACAATTGGTTCTATCAAGTATAACCAACGTTGTTCTTTATTTGAGCCCAGCTGTTCTGTGGTTCAGTTTAGTAAGCCCACTGTCACTAGGTCAATTCCAACTCAAAGTGACCCTGTCTATGGTTTCTGAGGCTGTAACTTTTTATGGAAGCAGAAAGCCTCATCTTTCTCCAGAGGAGTGGCTGATGGATGTGAACTACCAACCGTGAGGTTAGCAGTCCAGTGCTTATTCTACAGCATCACCATGACTCTTAGGACTTGAAAAACATTAGTTTACAGTATTGTTCACCTGAAGAAATTAAATTTAACTTAGGTCTTTGTAGAGTATGGGTATGTTAATTTGGCATTCAAACATAATCTCAACTATCAAATACAACCAGGTCAGTGGGGTACAGGAGGGGGGCAGTACAAAACAGTGGCAGAGTCAGTTGTCTCATAATGTCCCTCTTACAACAAAGACCCAAGAAAACAAGTGAATTGTATATAAATGACAACTTTGCAATCCTGAGCATCAAAGGCAAGGCTGAAGAAATGGACCAAGTAGCAAGGAGAAGGAAAGATTATAAAAAACAGAGGACGTCCTGCCAATCGAACCTGCACAGCATGACCATATTAATACAAAACAAGTCACACTCCCAACCCAAATCCCCATCGCCTAGGCATGCAAGCAGGAGCAACAATGCAACCACATCCAAAGTCAAGAAGGAGTATCCCCACACTGAGAAAGTTAAGTGTTCTTCCCCATGCTAAAGGTCTGCAGATGTGTGGTGGCCCCTACCCTCCTCATCCATCCACTCCTGCACTTGATCATGGTCCAGCAGCACCCACCACCACCTCACTTCCTGAGCTGGGCCCACGAACCAGTGGCACTTACCTTTTTGCTCAGCCATTTATGATGGGGACCCCATAGATTGGTGGCAATGGTCTTTCCATCTAACCATCTGGGCTAGGGGCTCATGGAAAGGTAGTATTTGCTCCTACACCCAGTTACTTACACCAGGAGCCCATAAGCCTACTGGTCCACTCAGCAACTGGTACCAAGTTTCCACAAACCAGAGGTATCAGCTCCTACAGCCAGCACCAACACCGGAGGCCCATAGACCAACCAGTGGTGCCTCCTACTTCTTCCTGGAAACTGTGCCAAGGGCCCAAGGACCAGAGGCATGCCCTTCCCTATATTACATTCTAATGGACAGGGATACGCCCTCCTAGTAGGTACCTATAGACTGGTAGCATCTCCCCTGCATCAGTCTTGAGCCATACTCCTTATAACTCTGATTGTACCTGCTCCAACCATCCCCATGCAGCCCTACCCACCCAGGACAACAGTGAGTGTTTCTATTTCATCTTTCTACCCAGTTACTGACAACTCAGGCACCCTTCCCCCAAACACCCAGCAACTGACAGTGCACACACAATACCTCACCCAAGGACCAGTGATCAACCGATGCAGCACCTCATCAGCAACTCCAGCTACATTCTCAACTGCCTTATGGGACCAATGCACAGAGACCCATGGTCACACACCCAACCACCGTCAGATCCTCCACAAGACAGATAACAAGAGCTCCAGAGCAGCCAAAGTAGTACACTTGACCCACATACTTGGATATGTCAAAACAAACAAACCACAAATCAGAAGGCAGAAAATAAACATAAACAAACATAATAGTGCCTTAAAGCCTCAGAGAAAAAAGACAATCTCAAATCACATAAAGAAACAAGACAAGATGGCACCAGCATATGACTAAAATAAAGAATGGGAAGACATTTCAGAAGAAGAAATGATAATGGAACTACCTAATAAAGGAATTCAAAAGACTAATATATTGGAGTCTCTAAGGGACCAAGGAAAATGTAGACAAAGCAATAGAGAATCCAGCAAAACAATAAAAGACCAAAATGACAAAACAAATAGGCAATCAAAAACCATACAGAAACAGCAACTAGAAATCAAAAAGATTAACAAATTAACTTCAGAAATAGACAACTCAATAGAAAGACAAGAAGCAGAATTGAATCAATTGAAAACAGAATTAGCAAAATAGAGTATGATTTCCTTGACACTAATTTGTTTGACAGGAAAAAAAAAATTTTTTTTCAGAAGGTTTAAGAATTATGCAGGGGGAAGGAGGCCGAAGAACAAGTTACATAGGGGAACAGTGAGCCAGGTTTGTATGGCCTAAGTGGGAAAGAGGTAAATAGTGATGCATGTTCAACCTTGGGACAACAGGGCTCTGGGATACCGGGATCTAGGGGTATGAAGAGGGGAAATAATACTAAAATGCTTGACTGTCTTATGAATATTGGTTTCCCTTGCCTACTATTGTAAAATAGACACTTGAGTGGGATAGAAAGGAATGTTGGGAAACATGATTACAGAAAAATTGTAAGCCTGTCTTGAGCCTATAACTGATTGGAACACCTAAAAGGGCTTCTAGAACTTGCCAAGTGAAATAGGCCTCTTGCAAAGCCTTTGCAGAGTATAGGACCTTAGGTGGCATCCTGAGTCCCATCCAGAACCTTATGAGGTGGGACATTCCCACTAGTAAGGACAAGCAGACCAGCCTGGAACAGCTAGAGTGACAGAAGATACATCTTCAAAGAAAGATCATCAGGAAAAAACCCTAAACAAAAATGTCAACATGACTGGCTACTACAAGAATAAGCAAGCTGTTTGCCAGGAAACCATCAAGGCAAGCAATCAAGTTCCTTCAGGACAAACTCCCCTCTAAGATTGAAACTCAAAGGGAACACACAAACAGGCATGTAAGTTTGCTGGTGACCACATTGGTTTCCTGGCGAGTGGAAGAGGGAGAAAGGAAGCAATGACGAAATGGGCTGAATTCAACCCCAGTCCATTGTTTCCTGTTGACCTGGAGATGAGAAAGAGAAGAGGAAGGGCTGGTTGGTCCAAAGTGTGGTGAGACCTGAGGACACTTACGCCCATGAACAAGGACATAGCCACAGAGGGCTAGAGCTGAGAGTGAAGCATCCAGCTGATATGAAGTGAGGGGAGATGCACAAGAACACCCAAATTTGCAGACAGTACACAATTGACCTAGCCTCGAGGGCTTGATAATCAAAACTCAACTAGAGGAAGATTAGAAAAAAAAAAAAAAATTTTTTTTTTCCATAAAGGAAACAAAGGTAAATTGCTACAACTTGATGAACCTGACCTATACTCATAGAGGTAGTAACTCTAAATATCAACAGAGAGGGAAGGAGTCTTCGCATGAAGTTTCAATGCTATCCCGTCTGTACACAGGATAGATAGGGATGGGCAACTTAAACATTGGCTACATAAAATGAGGGGACAATAAAGGCATGAAGTGACTGGCTTACAAGGTTTCAAGAGGGAGTTTAGTTTAAGAGTATGGGGATGGGAGGAAGAAAGAGTCCCCACTGAATAGTTTTCATCGTGTCTAGATGGGGCTGGTGGAAAGAGATGGGGATAAGATTCATATGATTCAATAGTGAATAATTGTTATCATGACTAATTGCAACTGTCACAATTGTAAAGGTAGAAGTTTTGTAACAAAAACAGGGGAGTGGTTAATATTACAGTCCAAAAACCGAGGACCCCTAGGACGATCAAGGAAGAAGTGCACAAGCATAATGCAGAACCTTATCCAGAGAAGCAGCGATGCCAGAGACAGAGGAAGAGATGGGGTCATGGAGAGTAGGAGCAGCTGAGGATTCTAGATTCATGGGAAGAGAGGGACTAAGCTGGTGGCCAAGAGGCAGATTTGCAGAATGTGCCCTTTGGAGGTGTAAATTATTATATATGCATGAATGTTTAGTTTAAAAAAAAAAACAAAAGCTTAAATGGATAGAAATACTGTTAACTGATGGTACATGAAGGGGATTATAATCATTGTAATGAAACAAGGTATATGATTTATTAAATGTAAAACTGATGATCTGCCCTGTAAACTTTCACTGAAAACACAATAAAAACCTTAAAAAAAAAAAAGAACTATGCAGGACATTATAGGAGGAAATTTTTACACACGATCGGAATTCCAGAACAAGAAGAGACCAAAGAACTACAATAACAACACAGAATTATTGAAGATTAGCTAGCAAACAAGAGTCCTGGTGTGGTGCTGTGGGATAATGCACTGGGCTTTAAGGTCAGTTTGAACCACAAGGTTGGTGTTTCCAGTTCATCAGCTGTTCCTCAGAAACCCTGTGTACAGGGTTGCTATAAGTTGGAACTGACTTGAAGGCACTTAACAATAACAACAATATCATGAAAGATGAGAAAATATCCATACAAGAAACTCAAATATAACCTGGGTCAAGAAGGACTCACATGACAGGTGTATAGCCATTTTGTGTGAAAGAACAGTAACAGGGCTGTTGTTGTTGTCGTTAGGTGCCATCAAGTCGGTACCGACTCATAGCGACCTTATTCACAGCAGAACGAAACACTGCTGGATCCTGGGCCAACCTTACTACTGTTGCCATGCTTGAGTCCATTGATGCTGCCACTTGGCCAATACTTCTCGTTGGGGGTCTTCCTCTTTTTCTCTGACCCTCCACCTTACCAAACATGATATCCTTCTCCAGCGACTGCTCCCTCTTGACAACATGTCTGAAGTATGAGAGATGAAGTATGGCCACCTTGGCCTCCAAGGACACTCTGGTTGCA